ACGCCTTGAGCCTCATGTTGCACTGCTTTCTCCTCTTAGTTAGATATGGCTTCCAAGTAAGCCTCCTGTCGAGTGTGAAAGCTAGTTATTACGGGTTTTTACCTGCGGGAAGAGGGAGCTGTTGAGACGGGCCGGTGGGCAGTTTCCGGGTCAAAGAGAAAAGGTTGTGGCAGTGTATTTGGCTTTGTTAACCTTAATATTGCATCTTCTCTGCCAACCGCTGAGCAGGTACAGCTGCTCTCACATGACAGCAGCTGTGGAAAAATTTTTTTATGAGCTTGATACTTGGAGGTGGCAAGTATCGTTTTAATGAAATTGCACTTATACCATCATCGCCCGTGGCCTTGTTGTTGTTCAACATGGAAATCTGAGCGGCTGTCCCCTCTTTTGTTACAGGTTCAATTGGGACGGCATCTCGTGCTGGCTCTGCTAAGAGTCGGACTGTTTCGGCTACCTCTTTTGACGAGCAGCGGTCGTACGTAGTAAACATAGAAGCCCAGTCTGGTACCGTTGGCCTACCCGCTTAGTCGTTCATTTCAAGATGCCCAGGGCCCGTCGCTGGCTTCACCCCAAAGTTCTCGATTTTGTAGTAAAGTGGACTCGATTGTCGTCTCACTGTTTCATGGTCCACCGTACTTTAGTAGTCGATTCACACCCTCTAGGTGTTTATGAGCGTCACAGACGATCCCTCGTCGAGCAGTGCATATGTGTTCACCTCCCTCGTTCTTCCCGTACAGCGTCACGGTGCGGCATTTCCTGGCCCCTCTGGTTCTCATTTTCCATGTGCCCTGCGCTTCTCAGGCTTATTGCATGGGACATGGAAATGTTACTCATTATTGGATCCGCTGTGTCGCCAGTTTGCTTATATTTTTGGAAAATGTTTTGATGTCAAACTGTTCCTTTGGCTAATCTACACCTACGAATCAATAAGCTTTTTAGTCTGGAGTTATAGACTTTTTAGTCTGCTTGCCTACTGAATCGATAGTATAGCCGTAGGTTTGTTGTTGTTTTGCCCAATCGTATAAGTATGCAAGAAAAATTGGCTAAGAATCCATGCTCTTAAAGTCCGGAAAGTCAATTTAAGTCCGATGTGAAAGTAACAGGAGAAAATATATGATCTTTTGTTTTTTGGGTCGATGTTCGAATGTTGTTGAGATGTAACTTTCTAAAAATGTAATTATCATAATAATTAAAATAAAATAAAATAAAATCATCATAGTGCTTTTTGTGGTCCTCTACGAACTGAGGCCAAGCTAAGACAATATTCTTATTGTTTTTTTTAGGATTATATATTTTGAAAAAAAAAATTTTAATTAATTAATTAAATTAATTAAATATTGTCGGGTCAGGTAGCAGCACGGCGTTTAATGTTAATGTTTAAATTATGTTTATGTAATATTTAGTGTAATGTTTATTTATGAGACTTAAGTTTGTACAAAAGCTTAGTTGATCGCAAGCCGACTCTCTCTCGGCCGCTCGACTCAACGGGCTTTCTATAGAGAGTTTCAGCTCGGCTATGTCTAGTTCGGGCCGCCCTCTCAATTTTCGAGAGCGATAGTGCCCGGAGGGCCCTTCGTTCCTTTTAGTGTGTTCTTTGTTCTTTTTAAGTGCTTAAATTGGCTATATGTAGATTACATTACATAATTACTATATGTCAACAGGTAATCGTCGCGGATGAAAGGCGTGAGTAAGCCGTAAACTGTAAACTTTCGAAGTCAACTGTAGCGACACAGAACTCCCCGATTACCCGTAAGGTTCTCCGATTTCATGCCTAAGGGGCTCCAACAAATAGATGATTACCCTTGCTTTTCGAAACCGGAATCGAGCCCTGGTACTTGATAGTCCAAGCAAAGGAAAAGATAGACGATTCCCAGGGCGGAATCCGTAATAGTTGCTCGCGGATAAGGATACGTGGACCCACATAAAATAGTCGAATAGTTTCGACTATTTCGACAATTTTCTTAAAGGCTTCATTATATTTGACAGGTGAGGGAACAATATCAGAATTCAGTACTAATCTCTTTGATTTCCCTATAAAGCGGAACATTTACTCGCAGCAGTTTTGGGTGAGAGGAAAGTCCTTCTATCACTTCCAATATATATGAGGTAGATACGATTGCGGTTAATTGATTGCGGCCGTCGCTGTTCCATAGATATAACCTAATCGCGTATGCATAAGGATTTGCAAACGGTGGCCATCATTTGGTCTATTTGGCTCATGACCGTCTCCATCATGCGCTCAAACATAGATTCCATCCTAACCAATAGGACGTCCATTGGATTACTTGGAAGACTGGGATCGGGATTGGGGTTGGAGTCAGACTGTGGTGCTCCGTTTTTGGCTGTGCTGGCATAGCTGATGTTAGGATTAATTTGGCGATTTTGACGATGCACACTTTACGCACTATCTCCACACTTTACGTATCTGTACTCCAGATGGCAGTACCGATCGTGTGGCCGAAGCACTGGCAGCAATGGCAATGGGGCACATCGTCGAATTTTATTGCTGGCTCAACCATAACCACCGTGCTGCATAGCCGCTTGACTTGAAAGGCCTCCTTGTTCCTTTTGGCTGGCTCGAGGCTAATAAAAAAAATGTTTAGTGGCTTCTTCGTACCTTTTCGCGTGGGATTGTGTATATCCCTGACTTTGTGTCCATGGCGGCTAAAACACTCCTTAATATCCTCCGGGCCGTGGAAAAGTGGAGGCCTTTAACGACGATCCGATCGCGCTCGTCTCGGGGCTGGAATGTGTGGAATCGATGGTTATTTTCGCTCAGGAACTTTTTCAGTGTTGAGTAAGTATCCTTCTAGGTCACTTCAAGATCCACACCTAAGATGCGGGAAATGTCTTTGGAGAGGCCCTTGATACCGTTTTTTCCGCAGATCGCTTGGTCTTCTTGTCATCTTTGTTCTGCATACCGTCAACCTCCATGTCGGTGTCATGATCTTCATCGTCTTAATCAGATAGAATTTCATACTAGTTGTTTTCAATATTAGCCTTAGATGGAGCTCTGGCTGCTTCGCTGTTGGTTGGTTCGTCTTCCATGATGAGTTTTTTAGCAGACTTCCACTTTATTTCTCCATGCTCGGAGTCACTGGAATCGTCATCTAGAAAATTAGAATAGGCCTTCTTTATGGAAAGCGGCTCAGTTTTGATGGAACTGGGGGGTCTTGTCAGCCCATTGTGTTGGTTTTGCCCGAGATTGGCCGCAAGATTATGTAAATAAGAGTGGTTTAATATTTGTTTGGTGTTTGAAAAATTTTTTTAATTTTGTTCCTTTTTTTTAACAAACAATAAAACGATACGTTAGGTTCAAAACCTATTTGATGATTGAATCGTTTAGACGTTTGTCTTACTGGCCATATTCCATATGTCCATATGGGCCATATGGTGGCTTTGTAAATAAGGGTTTCGAAGAAGTTCGCAGCTTTGATTTTCTTCCCATTAGCCAATAAAACGCCTTGAGACTCATGTTGCACTGCTTTCTCCTCTTAGTTAGATATGGCTTCCAAGTAAGCCTCCTGTCGAGTCCAGGAAAATTCTCTATAAAAAACGATAAAAAGACATAAGCTTGCATTTTGATCCATTAAGTATTAAATCGTTAGCTGAACACCATTTTTGAAAGTCATCAAGGTGAGATGGATTTGTACTGAAGACAAAGCTTTACATCATCTGCATACATAAGAACTTGAGAGTTCGTTAAAGCAGGTGGCAACTCATTTATAAAAAGAGTAAATAACAACGGGCCAAGATGACTTCCTTGGACTCCAAATGTAGCACGGACCAGACGGGAATGTTTGTTTTTAAATAAGACTCCTTGTGTCCTTCCATCTAAGTAGCTGGAGATCCACGTTAAGAGGTCTGTAGAAAATCCCAGTATATTCAATTTACTCAGCAAAAGTGAGTGATTGACTGAATTAAATGCTTTGCGAAAGATATGTAAATTACATCGGTTTAATATCCCTTACGAAAGCCATCTATGACAAAGGATGTCAACTCCAATAAGTTCGTGGTGGTGGACGCTTAATAAAGCCGTGCATTTTTCAAAATACTTTGGAATTGCCGACCAATTAGAGATGCCTCTGTAATTGGCACCATGAGACTTTTCCCCTTTTTTATGTAAGGGAATTATGAAATATTCCTTCCACTTAAGGATGTAGTCTCATGTTCCGGCCTACTTTTTAGAGGTTATTTCAAAAAAATTTTTCTGTAATAAAAAATAATGCGATCGTTTCAATTTTCAAATATGTTTTTATAGGCATCATAAACTATTTGAAAATGTTTTGTTTAATTTATTCTTGTGTAGATTAATACACTTTATAGCATGCCAAAGTATGCATATAAAAAAAAGGTAGGTCACTGGCGCTGGTGATTTCGACTGCTAGAGTCATCCGAAACAAAAAATTAGAATAGATTATTGTTTTGTAAGCTTATGGCTCTGTCCCGTACTAGAGTGAAATATACAACAAAATGGCGAACTGAAAAAAAAAATGTATCTTAAATTAATGATAAAAAAAACTAATCATTAAAAATAAATGATTCTAGTACGGGACAGAGGTGTTACTTTTTAGAACAACTTATCCAAATTTCAACTAGATCGGTACCATAGAATTTTGTGAATCACCTGCGCCGCTTAAAAAAATGTCGTTCCGAGAAAAACGCGTTTAAAGTTGAGACGCTACGGAGAAACTCATACTTTGCGGTGTAGGCGCGCTCTCGATTATGGGCTGTATCTCTGTCATTATTTGATACTTTTATTTGAAACTTTAACAGTACATTCTCAATAAACAGTACTTTCGAATCCATTTTTTCAACTTCACACATGAGACTACATCCTTAAATCAATATCCAAAGCTTAAGCCAAATCGGTTCTTATGCATTAAAAGGTACATATGTATACTGCTTGGCCCAACAGCAGTCCTTGCGGATTTTCCCATATCTAAACAACAAAATTACGCAACATTCCTTGAATTTAGTAATAAATAAGAAAAAGAAAATAAGGAACGCATGCGCGTACGTCGACTGATTTTTATATCGCCAAGAGTTATTTATATTTTATTTTTGTAGGTATAAGTTTAATAGTTTACAAAAAATGTTTAAGTAAAGTTTCAATTTAAAGAATATTAGTTTTCTTAAGGTTTAGGAACTTAAGGTTTCACGGTGTAGTTTTCATTCTTTATTTGTTATATTTTCAAATTTAATTTAGTTAATATAATTTTTATTTTTTCAAGTCATGGTTCTACCAGTTACTTAGAAAATCAAAACCTTGTGGAATTTTCGTTTCCCTTGTAAGAAGCTGAACATTTTCATATTGACTGGTATTTTTTAACAAGCTTTCATCAGACCAGTCGTTTATATTAATCTGTTGGCAGGGAAATGTAACAACATGTGATTTTGGTATTGAATTAAGATATCCACCATGGTTTTCAAATTTAAAATTTTCTTTAAGGTTACACGCTTTATTGATTTTATTTCGGCTATCATTAATTTTTTCTGAACTACCTTTGGATGGTTCAATGGCACCGCAAAAAATTGCTGGCATGTTTATCTGTGACTCCGTTCTGTAGCTAAAGGGAAAAGAGTGTTCGTCACGACAATTTTCGAGAATTTCATCATGTAGTTCTTTAAGGCCAACATTTTGCTTTACATATGTTCTTAAATCCTGTCCGTTATAATAATAAGTGGAATCAATATTTTGCCAGAAGAGACAATTTTTTTTTATCTTGGGAATAGTTTGTAGGGGAGAACACTGTTCAGCTTTAAAATATTTACTATAAATCTCGTGTTTTATTAAATGCTTGTTTAATACATTTTCTTGTTCAGCCCAACTCAAATTAATCCAGTCATCTTTACTATAAGTGGATTTCACACTGTTAATATCATCGGAAATCTTTTCCGATATAGAATTAAGATTAGAAAAGTAAGTATACATTCCTTGATGTGTCATGTTTAACCTGAAAGTACATTTTTCTTTAATTATTTAAAATGTGATGAATAGCGGATTGCGACCGCGAGTTTAAGATATAATTTTCTTTAATAGTTAAAAGTTTATACTAAAGAAAATCAACACACTAATTGATAGTAGGTTTAAAAACTTGAGTTGAGCAATTTAGAATTTGATGAATATGTATAGGAGAATGCAACTACAATACGTAATTCGTAAGATTAGTGTTGCCAAATAACGACAGTTTAACATCAACACGTATGTACATCACATATTTATACATAAAAAAAGTTAATACCGCACAGTTAGCGTCGAAAAGGATATATGGAATGTGGAACATAAATCATTTTAAACTAAAAGCAAACCTTAGTTTGAAAAGCAAAACAATTCCATGGGATCCGACCAACGAAATTGAATCGAATCAGGCAAAGAAATTCTTTTGCCCTCTGTTGCTGTTCATGTTTGAAAAAGCATGTTTGTTTGTTCTTTCTACTTAGTTCGAAAACGAAGACGGAAAAAAGAGATATATATTATAGTTTTTCTGTACTTTTTATTCAGTACTAACAAATTTCTATTTTTAACTAGGGCTTTAACAACTTTAAGTGAAAAAAAAAAAAGTAAATCAATTGAGACCTGAAAATAAATATATTGAAACAAATTGAAAAAAGTATTGCTAAATAAAATTTGGTTTATAAAACTTAAAAGTAAAAATAGTTAAATCATGGCATCCAAAGCTCAAATAAATTGTTACCTTATTGGCATCTTACTATGGCCGTCGAAATAGCGTGCTGCCCGAGGCTGAAGATTTAAAATATCCTATGGCGAGCACTGAAAAAATGATTTTAATGAAAAAATGATAGTTAAAACACTTTTTAAAACAAACAAACATACAACGTTACAACAAACCTACCATTTCAAAATAATTTATAAATAATATTTTTCATTTAATAATAGACAATGTTTAAAAGGTATTACCTCAATAAAGTAATTTAAATATTTATCACGATTTTCCCCAATTTTATCTACAACTTTTATTAAAATTAACTAATTATATATTAATAATGTTTATTAACTAATATAATTGACTAATTTGTGTTATATTATAAATTATGTATCAGTTTTTATGAATATTTCATATGGAATTATTACTATAAATACTATTCCTACCACCAAATGTACACAATGGTCCAAAAGTCAATTTTTTTTTATAATGTCAAAGTTTATGTGTTATATTGTAATACATTAATTATTAAAAATGAAAATCCGTTAAAAGCACCATTGAAGCTTTTTATAAGCTACTTAACAGTACACAATCGAACAGCTGTTTGGTACTAAAACTTGGCACTGACAAAACCTTATTGCTTGGTTTTGTACGGATAAATAAATATTCCTTGTTAAAGAGAAAAGTTATTATCGGAAAGTGAAGATCTGGGTGAGTATTGTTCACTAAGTAGAGTCAATTTATGTGTAGTCTTTGTCTGCCAGTTTAGTTTAGTGTAGAAAATGAAGAACATGTGGAATAAAACTAATAACCCTATGTCTCCCCACAAAAAATAAAAAAACGTCAGTTTGTAGAAGAATTTGTGGTTCGGCATCGTTCATTTACACGTTTTCCCCGTTTCCCCTTTTTTTACAAATTCACAATATTTGGGACCATATTTTGTCATAGCTATTACCTTGTGGAATTTTCGTTTCCCTTGTTAGAAGCTAAACATTTTCATCTTAACTGGTATTTTTTAACAAGCTTTCATCATCAGACCAGGGAAATTTTGGCAGGGAAATGTAACAATATGTGATTTAGGTAATGAATTAAGATATCACACACAACGACTAAACCTGGTGAAACTAAAACAAGCCTGGTGAAATCCGTCTAGTCTTCGACGCAGCAGCCAAAGTGCATGGCCTATGGCCACTCAGGACTACTGAAGGGCCCCCAAAACTACAAGTCACCCCAGGCTTTCCTCTTTCACTTTAGGCAAGTAGCCGTGGGACTCAGTATTACACTCAGTATCACGTATTTCAGCACTAGGACATATGCGCTCATAGATTCCTGTTGAGGCTTGAAGACAACAGCAAAGATCCGGAGAGCAGCGTGTTCGCCATGCTCAGCGCAGCACGTGAAGATCGTAAACACTTCAAGGTATCCTTGGGCGGTCTTCACCATAGATGAGACCACTACGTAGACGATTGTATAGAAAGCTTCGCAGACGAGGATGAAGCTATTGCCGATTTAAAACGGTTTTAATCTGTACCGGGTTTCTTCCATCTTGGCGAAAGCGGGTAGATCCTTATATCCGCAAGGCACCAACGAGAACGTCGAGTGGGCCGATTCCGAGCAAAAAGCACTAGCATTCGGGCACAGTTGTTTTAAGTGTCATATACCATCAGGTTCCCGGCAGCGTGATGACCGGAGAACACGTCCCTGCCAATGGGGAGTTCCTCAGCGTAATGATGTCACGTTTCATCCAAATGGGTTTTTAGGCAACTGTATGGTGACCGCCAAGCAGGACATGGCTGTTGAACACTGTGAAACAGAAACACAGTCTGAAGATTAACGGATGCGTACTTTGATGCCAATAAAGGCATTGTTCACCTGTTTAGTCACGAAATCCATCCACTTGGAGATGGCCCATGATTTATATACACATTCCTGCATCATCGCTATGAGAAATTCCTTGGAGCCTATCGAGAGGACTGAAGATTTAATGACGTTTTCAAGCGAAAGAAAATTCGGGGTGAGCTGTCGTCCAACGGAGTAGCGCTTAGGCAAGGTCCAGTGCATTTAAAAGGTGCTGGCCTATGGCCAAAAAGATAATATTTTTTTTTTGTGTATTGCGCCATTGAGGTAAAAGTCTATTCTAGATACTATTGGCGCGTACCAATAGCATGCACGATTCACCGAAATGTCTAGTACCGGCATTACTACTTTTGCTACCACCACTCCTGCCAAGTGGATACTGCCGCATGTTGGGCTGACCTCTTGATGGCCTCACGGGATGAGTTCCTTCCCTTTGTTGATTGGATGCGTATATTTCATCAGCTTCATTGAACACAATATTGATTGGGATTTTTGGGACATTTCACTGTATCCGTGAGAGTGCTCCTTGGATCCTTGCTACTCATATGATGGAGCACTCCACGTGTGCTCCGTAGGACATCCTGTTATCCAGCATTACCCCTAGGTATTTAACCGCCCTAGGAGAACCGCCTCCGTTTTATGAGCTGCCAGGTCCACTCCGGAGTCAGACATCCATGTTGATGTATGTCCAATTGCTTCATTCGCCTTGGTTTTCACGTCCTCGGTTTCCTTGGCCACCACGATTAGGGTCAGGTCGTCCGCGAAGCCGATGAGTTTGCATACCTCCAGTAGTTTGGTCCTGAGAACTTTGTCGTACATGATTTTCCAATCAGTACTTTACTGAGTACTTTGTCGTACATGATTTTCCAAGGAAGTGGTTCTTTCAGAACACCCGCAGTGTCCCATATCCTGATGGGTGTCCTATATCCTGTGTTGTGTTCTCGTTGAGTTCTATTTTAGACTGCTTTATTGTATGCGTAGCTTACAAAGTTGCCAGATTCTTAAAGTACTAAATAGGAGATGTATAAATTGGGGGAATTTAACACATCTCCTCCCTTCATTAAGAACCAATAGGATTTTTAGGGTTTCGGAAATCCTTGGGCTTGAAACGATCTATTTCTTGGCAAACACGACTACTTTGGCGAACTGGTATGCCGGATGAAAGTCGTGCAACAACCTTTGCCTTTGTTGTTGGTTCGATGATGTAGAGCTCTCGGGTGGCTCAGGTTCAGAATGACGTTGCTGAGCGGAGTTACCGGTTCATCTTGTTGTTGTTGTAGTGGTTGATCTGGTTGTAGTAGTGGTCGATTTAAAGAGGGCGGAATATCCGGGATCCAAAAGAACTCTGGAGGTTTTTCGATGGAGCTGCTTGCTGGGAACTTCGGTTTTAGCTGGTTGAAATGGCGCTTGATATAACCAATTGTGGTGCGAATCATGAAAAGCATTTTTCCAATTGGACGGTCAATAGAGTCTTTAATCCACTTTTCTCCCCTTGCATATTTACAACCGTAGACCCTTTGATTTGGGACGTACTTGGTAACTGATTGCTTGGCTTCGACAGGCTACTCGAAAAGTTGACTTAGTACGGTACGGACTGGACGACCATGGATTAACTCGGCGGGAGATTTTCCGTAGGAATTTGGAGTGAACTTGTAAGAAGCAAGGTATTTAGTAACTGCAGCTCGGACTGGTATACCGTCTTTGAGGTTTTTCTTGACTGAGAATTTGAACGTCTGAACGAAAGTCGACGACATTTGAAATACAAATGGGAACTGTTGGGCCGGCGAAGTCGATATGGATTCGCTCCCACGCTGGTGTTGCTGCATGCTTACTTTGGTACTCTTTTTGAGGAGCAGGAATGTTGCACTTGCAGATGCTGCATGACTGAGTAAGGCTTTTAATGTCTGCGTCGGTTGTAGGCCACCAAACATGTTGTCTAATCAATTTGTTGATTGTGAGGGCAATATTTCGATTAAAGTATGGGGATAATGCTTTCTCGCCTTGCTGAAGTTTTTCTGGCCATCCTACATTAACATACCGTAAGACTTGTTTGCGAAGTTTGTCCTTTTCAATGTGGTTGCGAATGGTCTCAGAATTGATCGGTAGTGACAGTTCAATTTCGATGTGGCAGGCTTTTTCTTTGTCGAAATCCGGGTCCATGCCCACGGAAAGACGCGAGCCATCTGCGTTGCCATGAGCAGATGGAGAGTCTCAACATTATAGGCCATGAGATTGATGGCCCAGCGCTATAGCCTGTTTGACATCATTAAAGGAAGATGCTTGCCTGAATTGCAAATCGTTACAAGTGGCTTGTGATCCGTTATAAGGGTAAACTTTCGGCCGTACAAATATTGCTAAAAACGTTTCACTCCGAATATTATAGAAAGTCCCTCGTATTCGATTTGGCTGTACTTAACCTGATGCTTGTCAAGCTTTTTGGATGCGAAAACAATAGGCCTCTTCTTGCCATCTCGTTGCATATTCGAAAGGACTACACCAATACCAAAAGATGATGCATCCGTCGCTAGGACTAGTGGTAGGTTTTCATCGAAATGAGCTAGCTAAGTCGCGTTAATAATATGGGAGTTCAGGGCTGTAAAAGCTTGTTGTTGTTGCGGCCCGAAAAGGTATGCTACATTTGAAGTTG